AAATTGTTGTTAATGTTTAAAATGCAATCTGAAATGCATATGTTATTTAAAAAAAAACATAAATTACAAATTTTAAAAGTTTATGAAAAAAAAAAAAAACCTAGCCATCATTGCTTAGCAAAAGCATTTGCAGAGAAATGCGTATCTTTGGGTTTTGCGGATATGCATCGTTTTCTAGCACGAAAGCTGAATATATTATTCTTTATTTTATTTTTTTTTCCCCCTTTATAAAACTGAGTAGATCTAAAGGAAACAGAGTTCCTTCTGGGTGCCTGTAATAAAGTACCAAACCTGATATGCACATGAAGGTAGCGAAAGCCTTTTGGATTGTCACCAAAAATAGAAAAGGTGAACGTCGACAAGATTTCAGAGATTTTTTTTTTTTTCTGGGGACCGAGGGAAACTGAAGTTAAAAATAAAGCTCTCGTATGGTCAACACGTTGGAGGAAATTCAAAGACTCTCATAAAATAAACATATTTTCAGAAGTGTTTTGAATTTCCCTGTGTAATTTCTGGCCAACAGAAATTACAGTTGTATCTTTGGAGGGACGTTATGTCAGATCAATGGTCATTATGCAAAAAAAATAAGCTGAAAACTCGATGCCTTAAGCCGTTCAGTTATTAAAACAGCGAGGACAGCTTTTCTTTAGATTCACTGCTAGAAAACTTTGCGCCACCGTGTCGCAACGATAAAATATTTCGGTTTGGTGTCCCGGGAGGTATGTAAAGCATTCCTTGAAAAAACACGAGTACGGAACAGCAGTTATTAAAAAATACAACCGTTTATGTCCCGAAAAATATAGGAAATCCTCTGAAGCCTGTGCATGAGCTCGAATACCCCAGCCCGAAGCACGCTGCGAGTTGTTCCTGAGCTGTATTTAACTGTAGGCTTTGGAGTCTTCAAGTGGAAGGGGAATCTCCGTTGGGACAGGTGGTGGTGACGGTGTGCGTGCCGTGCGTGTGCCTGCCCCTGCAGCCGCACGTGCGCCCGTCCGCCCTCGCTTCGCTGCAGCGTTATTAAGGAAAGCCGTCCGTGCCTCACCATGTTGTTACATGTGTCTGTCTGCTGATTATAAAATGTGTTAAACAGTATTTAAAAAACAAAAAAATGCAGAGCTGCGCTTTGATTTATTCAGCGAACAAAACATATGCTCGCTGTTCTGTTCTATGTAATTCATATGATCAATAAAATTTTCTTTAAAAAGAGCAACTTTGGCATTTAGAAGGATTATGCTGCTGAAGAAAAAAAATGTTTCGCTCTTGCTACATGTAGTCAACCTCAGTGCTCTTGCACCAAAATAAGTTTTTGGCTGACTAACGTCTGTTTTTGTGTATTTATTATTTCTGATCTTCAGGGTCGAAGCTGTGTATTGCGGCTGTTATCCGCTGTGTCCCAAAGCCTTGGTGTACCCAGAGATATTTCCAGGTAGCTGCTTCGTTGCACATTCTTTTTTTTCTGAAACGTCATAACGTGATTCGGGCTGAAATACAAAGTTTGAGAATAAACTTGAGCAAAAGCAATTGTTTATTTGGCAAGCCAGCGTGTTAGTGTTAAGGAAAATTTGATGTATTTTAATACATTAGACAAAGTTTATATTTGCCATCTGTTCTTTTAAGATAACACAAAAGCAAGTTTTGAAATAGCATTCTTCATTGTTAGCATACACAACCCATAATGATAGATTTTTGTTAAAAGGTCAGTGATGCTGCAATGGTTTGCAGATTTTTTTTTTTTGATACACAGGAAAAAAAAAAAAAACCAACCACGAGGCCTGAAAATCACACCAAATTATTTAAACAATTTAATACTTAATAGTATGCAACTGCTGTACAGGATACACACTAATGTAGTACCAGTTCTTTGAAAAATCTCATCACTAAATGTATCACATATGCATTGTGTTACATTAGAATAATGTATTTTAATCACCCAAAGGAGATGTCTAAACAGCACAACTACACAGTCTTATTTAGCATTAAACATCCTTGTGAGCTGAGGTAACCTTATAAAATCATGCTTAAATAATGTAAAACACGAGGCGGCACAGAGCAATATGCATTTTTAATTAGTAAAGTGACTAATATCGAGTGTGTGCTTTGAGGTTTTTGTTTCATTAAAAATGTATCTGTTTTTCCTGCAGCTGAATATCTGTATTCTACACCTGAGCAGCTTTTTAAAAGGCTTCAGAATTTCTGCAAGAGACCAGATATTGTAAGGAAACATCTCTATAAGGTAGTTGTTCAGAATAGTTTTACATGATATAATGCCATATTGAAGTACAAAGGAAAAAAAAAACCTTAAAAAAACAACATTTAATTAACATACTAATGTTTAAAGGAAACATGCTAGGGAGGGATATTAGTCGTTACACTAACAAGGATTAATTAAACTAGATGCCAGTTGTATTAACCTAGGTCTTATGAAATACGTGCACTTAATGCATGCTACATGCTTTTTTTTAATTTATTGTTTTCTAAAATCACTGTCCTTTACGTTTGGACCCAGGAGGCTTATAAAAATGAACCTGGATTAATGCAACTCATTAGTTTAAAAGGAAAATAAAAGAAAGATCCTACAATTATACTAATGAGGATAAGCCTACCTTCCTATCCTAATTTAATCTCCAGTCCTCAAAAAACACAGGTGACAGGTATCAGGTAAGACTTCTCTGCCTTCTGGAATTATCCGAATTATTTGCATAATTGTGATTGTTTTAACTCTTTGTTTTTTAAGGTACGTTGGGCATAAAAAAAGTTTATCAGAAGCATAATTTACTGCTATTTCTCATGTCCTGTTCTTTGCAGTTATTTATGTGGAGAAAGTACAGTTTCGGTGGCAGACCCTCCATCCAAGTTTTGATGGAGCGTTCAAGGCTAGATGGGCTTTCACTTTTTTAAGAGGTGTATTTATACTGCTGGGAGTCACACTTTATTTTTTTTTTTTTTAATTACATGATTGTAGACGAAGCACTAAATTTTATATTATTCCAGCAAAGAGCTATTCTCACATGATGCTGCTTTTAGAAAAATAACTGCTATTTTCTGCGTGCTGGTACGTAAATTTACAGCGTTCTCTGAATTTCTCAGTCCTGGCGATGCCGTGGGCAGGCTGGATACGCATCACCCCCGCACGACAAAGGTGTTTCAGGTTGTAAAAAACCTGAATTTGGCTAAAAAATCATTATTAAAGGGTTGGGAGTGCACAGAAATACTCCTGGTGTTACCCGTGTGGTATGAACGCGGTCTCTGTAGCGTTCCCTGGCCGTCGCCGTCCAGGCATGCTGTTAATGAGCAAGTCGAAGTAATCACCTTCTTAATTTGGAGGCTCACGCTGCTGGCAGACCTAACCTCATCTCTCCACCTTCCTCCCTCTGGGGACCAGAAAACGTTGGGTCTCGCTGCATGTCGGCTGCTTCTCTACCCCTTCCCGCACACATGGAGCAGGAGGAGCGAGGCTTTAGCCCACGCCTGACTTTTTTTTTCTTTTTTTTCTTTTTTTTTTTTTGTGACCTAAAAATAGACATTTACATAATGACACATCAAAGATGATGTTGTTTCTGCAGGAAACAGTTAAACTTCGAGGGGGGAAAAAAAAAAAAAAAAAAAAAAGGAGAGAACCAAAAATGCAATTTAACACCCAATTTCAAGCTCATTATCTTTCATTGTCTATTAACTTGGCAATGGTTCAGAAGGTAGCTCATAATAGTTTAAAATGCTGACTGAACACTTCCAGTGTTCAGCGTTACTTCTGGTGTCAATGGTATCGTATAGTTAGACGTGGTGGCTTCAAAGGGAAAACAGTCCTTAAACGTTTACCTTGACGTTGCCCAGTGCTTGAAGCTCAGCTAGTAGTTGTGTTCACATGGATCCTCTCTCTACGTGTGGATCCCCAGCGCCTAAACAGAGCCAAGGTGTGCTAAAAATGAAAAAAAAACGGTGGAGAAAACACCGATATAAAATGATAACGGGTTTAAAAGGTGCGCGCGAGTCCCGTAAGCGAAACGCTAGGTTTTTTTTATTAAAAAAGTCACTTAGGATGAGTTGCAGGCAGAAGCTGAAGGTGTTTATCCTCCTACCCCTCGTGCACCTGCACTATTAACAGCACAGCTACGTTCAGGTCTTCTGAGCGTTCGGGCTGAGCGTCTGCAACAGGTAGTAATTGAGCTGAACGGTGGATGGTTTTAAAATGAGTAGAGCAGAGCCTAATCCAGAACCTGTGAGCACCAGAGAAGAGATCCCTGTTGTCTTTAATAGGCTTTGGATCAGCTCGGAGAATACCGTTAGAGTTGTCTTTTTGTGCCTCCACCCACGTACGCCGAGCCTGCCCGTCACGGTGAAACTCTCCGCAAAGCCTCCTCGAAAAACGCTGACTTAGGTGTGTGTTGTTAAGGTCGTTGTAGCTGGGAGGACGCTGCTTTTCAGGAAGCTGAAAAAAGAGTGAAATCACAAAGGGTACGCAGCACTTCCACTGTATTTTCACTTTTTTCAGATCAGTATAATATTATATATACTATAGCGGAATAGAGAAGGGACTCCGGCACAGTAGTGCGCACTAATTCGCTACTTTTCTTTCCAAGACCTTCCTGACATACTCTCTGCCTGTGAAGTTCATAAAGTATCTGTGAAATCTTGAAAGTTAAAAATGCTTTCACAGCAAATAGTGGTTTTATTCACTGGTTGGGGATTCTGCTTCGTAGGTGGGAAAGTAATCAGCATCAGAAGCACCTTGGGTTATCCTTTTACGTATTGTTGGGGTTTTATGACCACGGGTATCCGTAATAATGAGATAGCTTAGCTTGACGGAGCGGATTCGTGCTGGCAGACTTTTTAAAGTGTCCATAACATAAGCACCTATGGAAACCTTTCCAAATGGTGTATTACTTACCCTGGCTATTCTCACAGCACCCAAGGCTGGCTTGTTTGCGTTTCGACGTCGCCTTCTACCAGTTGTTAGCAGAAGATTGAGATGAGCAGAAAGCAAACCTCATTTGTTATCAATTATTTGTTCTGTTCCAGTTTTATGGAATCAAACGTGGCTCTTTGGTTCTGAGTATTTGTGGTTGCCAAAGTAAGTGCCAGAATGAAGCAAGTAACAACAACAGGGCATCGGTTTCCATCGGAGCACACCGTAGGACCTGTCAGCGTTTGCGCGCTCCCTATCTAGTAGATCTAAAGTAAAAAAAAAAAAATAAAAATAGGGCAAAGCATTTGTTTCTGCATTATTTTCTTGAAGTTTACCTTTCAGTTCCCTCACTTCGGTTTCTTAATTTAAAACAGCATGTATAAAGAGTATACAGTGGAAAGGGACAAGAAGAGTTGCCAAAAGCCAGGCATGGAAGGAGCTGACAACTTTAAATAATCTCTCCCAGCCCTCCCAGCTGAATGAGTGCTGGTTGACATGCTGTCAGCTTCAGTTCCTGCAGAAAAATCCTACTCTCGCTCATGCTTGTTTAACGGAGAAAAGAATTTGGCCCACTTTCTGACATTCATCTTCTCATTTCCATCACACTACAGAAGCTCACCTGCCTATGAAAAGGCACATGGCGTGATTTTTTTTTCTTCTTTCTTACACCACTGTAGAAGGAAGACTGCTGAATTCAAAGGGATTAAACTGCTGTAAAATCAAATTAAGATCCCAGTTAGACTGTAGACATCTGAATTGTTTCCAGTCGCAGGATTTGGCTGTATAGGGCAGTTCTAACAAAACTTTTCTTTTTTTTTTTTTTCTTTTTTTTTCCTTCTCCTTTTGCTCTGATTTGAGATAAAGCAGTATCTTTGGTATTTCAGGAAAACATGACAAAGGGAAAACAGCTCCTGGTCCAGCTTTAATTTTTAGGCACAGCTAGGAAAGCAGCAGGAGGCATTCTCAGCCTACGGATACGATGCGCTGGACACGTGAGGGTGCAAGAAAGCTTCGTGCCAGATGTCCCATCAGCCACTCAGCCCTGTTGCAAGGAGCAGGAGTTGTTAATGGTTGGACCTGATGGTTTTAAAGGTCTTTTCCAAACTAAATGATTCTATGATTTAATTCTATGATTCTATGATTCGGTGATTCATGGTTCTTGTACGGGCCATGTAAGAGGCAGGGACAATGCCTCTGCCCTTCTCCTTACCCACTCCCCAGCAAAACTCCATGAGAAATTAGTTTTTTCTGTAAGGATGCCAACTGCCACTCTGGATCAGCACACCATGTGTTTAGTTTGATACTGTGTTTTTAATAGTGGTGAGCATTGGATATTTGGGAGAAGGTTGACGCAGGTTGACATAGGGTGTTCAGGGTCTTCTCTTGGTCTTTTAGAGTTAGAGATTGGTCCTAACCCTAGACTTGGAGATTTTATCATCTTCCATAACCTTTAAGTATTGCCAGGCTGTACGTAATAGTTCTCCATTTGTCTTTGAGGTCCTTGGAAGCCCCTATTGTTGTCTTTCACATCTTCCTATAGCAAAGCAGTTCATCAGATGTTTACAGACGTTTCCCTCAGTTGGCTCAGCATTTCCCCACCTTCCATTGCATTGAGTTCTTCTTGTTCTGAAGCAGGTCACCTGGAAGCAGAAGCTCCCCATCCATCTTTTCTATACCATTCATTATTTTATAAACATTTGCCAGATGTTTACAGTATCCTGGCCCTTTCAGTCTCTCCTCGTGAACGTTCTTCCATGTTTATATTCATATCTCCCGTCAGTCAAGCCATTTTGATGCTTGAGAGCTGTTTTTGTGCTGGTATGATCGTTACTTTACAGAGTATTCTAGGCCACGCCATCAGTTTATGTGGTGTGTTGTACTCTGATAATTTTCAACCTGTTCCTTATGGAGCCAGCCATACTGTTTACTTTTTAATCGTGAATGTATATTGAGCAGATGTTTGCTTACAGTGTTCTCCAGATCTTTTGTCCTGGGCTGATAAAGTTAATTTAGAGCTTTATAGGGTATGCAAATAGTACAAATATTTCCATCCATCCTGCTGGCTTTCTGTTCATCGGCAGAGCACGGTTGCAGGGAAAGAAGGTGGCACTATGTTGAATTTGTGCTTCTGCCTGGTTAACGTTAGGTGCAGGTCAGGAGGAGGTTGGAAGCACGAGCAGGAAACTTGTATTTGCCTCTTGTGATGCTTGGTTTCCAGTGAGCAGGATTTAAAGTGGTTTCAGAGGTGGTCTGGATCTGCTGCTCAGAGCCTGCATGGGAAGGTTACAGGAGCCTGGAAACTCTGGGCTGCAGCATGCTGGGTCCATGCTCTCCCATCTCTGTGTCGGTGCTTAGGCATGGGATCCTCAGTAAAATGTGTAGAAGAGAAGAATTTCTTATGTGAAAGAAAACTTGGGTTAGTTACTTAGAACACAGAATTATAGAGTAGTTAAGGAAGGGACCTCTGGAGGTCATCTGGTCAGCCTCTGCTCAAAGCAGGGCCAGCTTCGAAGTAGGATCTAACTTCAAAGTCGGGTTAAGGTGCTCAGGGTCGCATCCAGGTTACACTGAAGTCTTGACATTTTTCATTCCGTGCGTATGGCTGATGCAGCTGAAGGTCTAGGTAGCTGAGGAGGTGTGCAGAGGTGGGAAGATTTGCTGGACTGCGGGACACAATTTAAGCATTTTGGGTCAACCTTAGGTCTTCAGCTGTAGTAGAGTGAGATCTGCTAACTAATGGGGATGCTCACTGGGGAAGAAATGAACTAGCTGTTGGAGTTGCCTGCTAGGTCATTCTGGGATCCAGCTGTACATATGTAGACATATATGTATGCATATAAGTATGCATATACATATATATATGTACGTGTCCTGCACCTGAACTTCTTCCAGGGCTTGCCTTGCTCTTGGCTCTCTGAGGTACATATCTAGGAGATTTCAGCTCTCTGAAACTGTTGGTCTGTAGCACGTAGCAGTTGGCTGCGCTTGTAGAGCAGGAAGAAAGTGTTCATTAAGAAAGCAGTTATGTCTCCATCTTTCAGCATAAACACCAGGACTTTGAACTTCATATCATAACGATATTAGATAGCTTCCGATGTAGTTTTCGAGAGTAAATGGAAACTGGCAGATGAACCACAGCGGCTGCAAAACGGTAGCTGGAGAAATGGGTCAAAGGAAGTAGGATTGACTTTGAAAGAAAAGTTGCAAAAAGCACAAAAACTTTTTTTTTTTCAGTAAAGTTTGTTCAAATTACCTTGAGAAAGAAAGCCTGAAACTGTTTTCTTACTGTTGTGGTTGGTCAGTGTGTACTGAACCATCCTGTGCAAGGTACCCACCAGCGTATCTTGCGTGGATTGGCATCCAACATTTGAAGTTTTTTGTTTAAAGACAAAAAAATGAGATGAGTTTTAAAAGGCCGACATAAGAAACCGCAGAAGAGACCAGTTTATTCAGGGAAATACTGGTACTCTGCTGAGGAGTATTATACAGCTCTGACTTGGGCTTCGCAGTGCACCCAGTTTGTGTAAACCAATGCTGTCTTTTGATGGTGGTTTCCATAGGTGCTTGGAGTTTGAAAGCGTAGCTCCAAAAGTAGTTACTACAAGCTGCTTCCCACCTTGATTCTTCCCCTATACTCACAGAGGGAAGGAGCTGGGTCACAGGGTAAAGCTGACCCGATACAAATTGACTCTGTAACTCACTCTGCTGTCTTGCCTGCCAAATCTCAGGTTTTGTGCTGAATAATAGTCTCTAATTCTTAATTTTCTTGAGGTAATTTTTAAAAAAATGTACAAAAAATGTATGCCAAATCAGTACTGCGATTGCCGAGTCAGTGCTGATACTGCTTGAACTCCAGCTACCCTGAAACAACAGGTCTGAATAGATGGACGGTCCTTATTAAATTCTAAATGTTAACTCTGAAGTCTAATGAGGGCAGCGTAGGTAGTAATTATTTCAATTCTGCTCTTAGGACACAAGATACAAAAAAGTTGATTTTATCATAAAGACTGTTGTATTGTTACTGATATTATGTGAACTGTTCTTCATGGGGAGATCATGCTTTATGTGAAAACTTTACTTCTCTTCGTGATTTTATCTCCGCGTATTTAGAGACTGTTGACCGAATCATGTTATATTCCATGGAAAAGTGAATGCCCAAACCTTTGCAGAGCTATCAGCTGATAAAAAAAAAAAAAAAAAAAAAAAAAAAAAAAAGAGTTGAATTTGTTCTCTTCAAGGTTACTTCAAAATAAAGCCCAGAAGCCCGACCGACGATGGTCAAGCAGGAGAATTACCCCCTCACTCCTGCCAATTCCTGGTTCTGCCATGCCTGAGGGTGAGAGGGGCAGCTCAGTCCCCGCGAGCGTTCTGTCCTTGATGTGTCCACCTCCTGGTGCTCATCCAGGAGCAGATAACCTGGGGCTGCCGACCAGCTTACCTGTCTTAAAAATAATAAAAAAAAAAAGCCGAATTCCCTCCGTTTCCAAATAACGGCACGTGAGCGTCCGCTCCCGGAATCCTGGGGACCGCAGGACGCGCTCGGTCCCGCGCTGGAGACGGTCCCTGCCGCATCCCGGCATCTCACGCAGCTTCGTGCGCTTTTCTCTTCTGCTTCCTCGCAGGGCGAGACGGCTGGGTTTGCTTGGGCAGCGCTCGGCGGCGAATTCAGGTCTCTGCTCGCAGCAGAACCGAGGGAAGATTTGTGACAGATGGGGCTAAGTCACAAACTTGCAGCCTCAGGCAGAATTTGTGGAAGTTTCCAGAGTGTGCCCATATTTACCTGATCAGAGAGAAAAGAAAATCTGCAGAGGAAGCCGAGCCTGGCTGCTTGTCATAGCTGACACAGAGCCATCTGAAGGCGGCTTCAGATCTCCAATCCCTGCCACCACCCCAGCTCAAATTAAATACAGATTCTTAGAGACGTTATGATGGTTACACATGTCCTCGGCATCACATGCAGGAGACTGTTCAAAAAAAAAAAAATAAAAAAAAAAATCTGTGGCCTGTTGTATAACCGCACTCATGTATCCCATATGTGGTGCCACATTGAATTTCCGGTTGAATCTGTTTTTATCCTTTGTACTGGATGACATGGTGCCTGAATTCTTTCTTTTCGCCGACACGATGGGGGCGCAAACGCAAACGCGGCTTCAAACGCTCGCACTTGGCTGAGTTTCTACCTAGGTTGCCAGGTTATCATTGGAGCCTTATTGTGTCCTCAAAGGGCCACAGGGCCTGAAAGGAGGATCCCAACGCCGCCGGACTAATTGGGCAGCCAGCTCTGGGTTGTTTGGAGGCAAAGGGCTGCTTTAGCACTTTGCTTTTTATTTTTTTTTAATTTTTTTCTTTTTTTTGCAAATTAATGACTCTCTGGCACAGGGGTTTTTAAGCGAAGGTATTAATAAGGGGTCTGGCAGGTAATCCCATGATTCGCGGAGTTACATTTGCATTTAATTAATCTTAAAGAAAGCTGAAAGATAAACAGCTGTAATTCAAACTAGCATGGGAAATATGCTACGTGGTGCCATCTATCCGATAAAATGAAAGCCGAGACACTTGTTTTATTTCTCTCAAGGATGGAGAACAAACAGATAACAGCCAAAATGCTTCCAATAAAAACCAGTAGTTTAAATGTAACGGCAGTTCATCAAGAATCTTTGCATCCAGTTACAAATACAGTCTTTTAAAGATAAATCACTTATGATTCCGGCAGTCAAGCTGCTGTATTTGTTGATGTAAAATGTTTTGAAGATGTAGATTGTACAATAAATTTTTAATAAAGTGCCCACTGCAATTTTTAATTAGCATATCTCATTCATGTATAAGTGTGTACATCTATCTGTATGTTTATCACTGCGCATATCCTTGTGTCAGAGTCAATGAATGCGATCGTGTCTTTATCTGATGGAGTAGAATCTGTTTTGCAAGCGATAATAAAACGTTATGACAATTCCGAGATTTTCAACTCCGCGCTGGGAAGAGGCAAGAAGAGGACTCTGGGTAAGGCGTTTCGGCGTGAAGCCTGGTACGACCTCTCTTTGCAGACAGGTAAGGGTTCAGGGTAGCTCCTCTCCCTGTCCTCGTGCTGCCCACGGCAGGCGAGAGGCGCAGGTTGGTCCCCTTCCACACACCTCCTGCCTTCGGACGTCATCAAGATGCTGGACTGTCCTGTTGTCAGTGCAAGAGAGAGCACGTGGTACCTTCTCTTTAAAATTACTCCATTAAGCAATCGAAAACCCCAAGGGAGCTCCACCGGTAAGTGTTCAGATATTTTCCTAGCACTGCAGGATTGTAATTTTGCAGTAATCATCTGTCTTGTACACTGGTTCCTCCTCATTTCTGCTCGACCAAAGCCCAGCTTGAGTCTCGGCGTTGAATGCGGTTGAGTACAAGTGGTCCTCGCAAGACGGTGTGCGTAGGTGCTGTGGTCACACTTGGTAGAACCAAGTAACAGGGCTTCCTTACACTTCTTGTCAAAGCGTATCATAAACGCTCACTGATGTTCTCACACCTGGCACCAGGAAGAGCAAATTCTTTTTTTTGTCTTTACTGATGGGGAAACTGAGGCATGGTACAATCAAAGTGAATCGGTTCAAGTTTCACAGCGAGTCACTCTCCAAACGGGTAAAAGGGAGAGAGGACATGGTGTAACGTGCTAGGGTTTGTAGTGAAGGGAGTCGATAGACCAAAGCTCTGTGGTTTTGAGTTGAAGACTCTTGCTCTCCTCAGTGCACACCTTGATGGGGCCTGTGACCGAAGGAGGTCTGGCCCAGCTCCTTGGCGAGGTGATGCTCTGCTTTGTTCACTTACTGACCAGCGATACTTTAGCCATACCCACCCCAGTCTGGTAAGCGAGGCTTCCTCTTGATGGGAGGGTTTTCCCTCTGAGTTCCAAACCCTCACAAATAAGGTTTTGTGTTAGAAACACTGTGAGGACTTTAATTGCAGGGTAATAAATAGCGATGCTGCATTATCCGCGGGTATTTCTGTACGTTCCTAGCGAAGATACACAGCCCCTCCAGAGCAAGGAGGAAAATGTCCTTACCCCATCTCCTGGGACCTTCGGCTTGGCCTCCTGCGGGGGGCCACCCTGGCCTGTTTCGAGGTCCTCAGTGGGAGGGTGAGGTTGGACCTTCAGGTAGTGG